TCCACGTGCAGTGAAACCCGGCTTTGTGTCTAACAGGGAGGCCTCCTCGGAGTGGCCCTGGCCCCTTCCTGGCCCCTGCAGGATGGGCCCCAAGTCCCGGCAGACTGACCAATGACTGGGAGCTCCCTCTGGGCTCCAGGCCCGTTGTCAGGAGGAGCGTGTGGGCCCGGTGGAGCACTTGGGCCGAAAGACACTTCTTCCCCAAAGCGGGTTCTGGTGTTTGCACAACGTCTGAAATTAATGCAGAGAAGGCGTCCAGGTGTCCAGGTTGGAACAGGGGCCGAGAGCAGGAAGGGGCTGGGCTGGGTACCAGCCTTCTCTCCCAGGGAGAGCAGAGCAGGGCCAACGCAGGAGCTACCCAGGGCAGCTTCCTGCCCACACTCAGTTGGTTTTACGTGAAACTGGTCGTGGGAGCCAGGAGGGACGGCATCGGAGAAGGCCGTGGCTGGGCAGTAGCTCCCCGCCGAGGGCACAGAGAGGCCCGTCTTCCCCAGAGACCAGAATACACACACAGGCTGCTGGAGGAGATCACGAAGCACAACCCCAGTGTGGGGTTGGGAACCGGGAAGCCCCTGTGTGCGTGGTCTTAAGTCCGAGTCCCCCAGGGCACCGTGGAGCCAGAGGACAGTGGTGGGGCACTGACCTGCACGTGGCTGGCCCAGATTCAATCCCTGACACCCCTTAGGGTCCCCCAAGCCTGCCAGGAGTGATCCCTGAGCACGACTGGGTGCAGCCCCCAAACCAAAACCAACCAAACAGCCAAACAAACAACACCCCAAGGGCTTGTGTTCTGCTGAGTTCTGTGGGGCTTGGGGCAAGTCACCGGGGCTCTGCAGGGGTCCTCGTCAGCTGTGAGGAAGAGAACAACGCGGGGGCTCTAGGCTCTTCCCCGGGGACACGGCAGTTCCTTCGATTTTCCCATGGAATGGCCATTTCCGTGGGTTCTGGTTGTGGGGGCCTCTGCTGGCCGAGGGGAAGGGGGCTGCCCTCACTGGGACCAGGAGGAGACCTCAGTGAGGGCAGGGTGGGGTGCCTTCTGCCCACCACCACTGACAAGCAGTCAGCATTTGGGGGAGTCATTGATGAAGTGGGGTCCAGGCGTGTGCTGCACGGGGGGGCGGGGCTCTGGGTCAGGGGGGTGTCACAGTCCATGACTGTTCCTCTTTCGAGCTCCAGGGAAGGAAATAAAGCCCGAAACGCTCCCGGGAGCCTCGGGGCCTCTCCAGGTGGTTCTGGGGTGGGGCCAGGGCCCAGCACGCCAAGTCCACATGCCAGCCCCAGAGCCTATGGCCTTTTCCTTGGCTTTAAATGTGAGTTTCAAAAAAGCATGGGGGCGATACTTTTTTGCCTCTCTGGGATATATTCCCAGGAGTGGTATTGGTGGGTCAAATGGGAGCTCAAATTCTAATGTTTTGAGAATCGTCCGTGGACGATTCAGCCTGTTTTCCAAAAGGGCTGAAGCAAGCACAAAAATTTGTAAGTCTACAACTGTACCTCAAGGTGTTTCACTAATAAAAAAAAAATTTTTTTTTTAAAAGCGTGGGATGGGGCTGGAGCAATAGCACAGCGGGGAGGGCGTTTGCCTGGCACGCAGCCGACCCGGGTTCGATTCCCAGCATCCCATATGGTCCCCCGAGCACCGCCAGGAGTAATTCCTGAGTGCATGAACCAGGAGTAACTCCTGTGCATCGCTGGGTGTGACCCCCCCAAAGAAAGCATGGGGGCATGGGACGAGAGAAGCGTTCCCCTAGCTAGCCCATGGCAATGGATGGACAATGGGGGGGGGGGGAGAAACAGGGTCCCAGGCAGTTGGTAGACAGTTTATTTCTCTCTCCTCCACAATGTAGTTCCATCTCTCCCCTTACAGCATAGTAATTTATGCTCCTTTCTCCCCAGGGTAGTCCGACCTCTTCTCTTGCAGCATAATAATTTCTCTCCCCTCCCCCACTGGAATTTAGTCATCCCCCTCGCTCCCCTTTCCCCTAGCCTCGTCCGAGCTCTTCCTTTACAGCATAATCATTTCTCCTCTCTTCCCCCTCGTAGTTGTAGTCTAGTCCCCTGTCTCTCCTCATATTTCTATAGTTATATAGGAATCGTGAAGGGTGGGGGTACACATAGGTGGGCTTGAACACCGTCGTAACAGCAAACAGATAGAAAGCCCCTCCTTCAGCGGAAGTTCTAGGAGATTAACTCAAGGACAACATCTCATCTGAGGGTTCAGCACTCCAGATTACTAACTAGGATCTGCTCAAGGGCGGGATTCCATCTGGTGTGTGTTGCTTTCTCCTTTCCTCAGCTAGTAATGCATTGAAACAGTCATGGTCACGGTCACGGTCCTCCCGTTGTTCATCAGAGCGATAGCACAGCGGTAGGGCATTTGCCTTGGACGCAACCAACATGGGCGACCCGAGTTCGATTCCTCCGCCCCTCTCGAAGAGCCCAGCAAGCTACCGAGAGTATCTCACCCGCACAGCAGAGCCTAGCAAGCTCCCCATGACGTATTCAATATGCCAAACACAGTAACAATGAGTCTCACGATGGAGACGTTACTGGGCCCGCTCGAGCAAATCGATGATCAACGGGAGGGCCTTTACTTTACTTTACTTACTTTATGTATATATATATATATATATATATATATATATATATATATATATATATATGGGCTGGAGCGATAGCACAGCGGTAGGGCGTTTGCCTTGCACGCAGCCAACATGGCCGACCCGAGTTCGATTCCTCCGCCCCTCTCGGAGAGCCCGGCAAGCTACCGAGAGTATTCGATATGCCAGACACAGTAACAACCAAGTCTCCAATGGGGACGTTACTGGGCCCGCTCGAGCAAATCGACGATCAACGGGAGGGCTGCCGGCTAGAGTTTGATTCCTCCGCCCCTCTCGGAGAGCCCGGCAAGCTACCGAGAGTATCTCACCCGCACGGCAGAGCCTGGCAAGCCACCCGTGACGTACTCGATATGCCAAACACAGTAACAATAAAGTCTCCAATGGAGATGTTACTGGGCCCACTCGAGCAAATCGATGATCAACGGGAGGGCCTTTACTTTACTTTACTTACTTTATGTATATATATATATATATATATATATATATATATATATATATATGGGCTGGAGCGATAGCACAGCGGTAGGGCGTTTGCCTTGCACGCAGCCAACATGGCCGACCCGAGTTCGATTCCTCCGCCCCTCTCGGAGAGCCCGGCAAGCTACCGAGAGTATCTCGCCCGCACGGCAGAGCCTGGCAAGCCCCCCGTGACGTATTCGATATGCTAGACACAGTAACAACAAACTCTTCCATGGAGACGTTACTGGGCCCGCTCGAGCAAATCGACGATCAACGGGAGGGCCTATTCAATCACTTCTTCTTGGGTCCCAACAGAATTTGTTCCTTGACGATGCTCTTGACCTATTATACTTCTTATGGCATGAGCTTATCTCTTTCCGATGCCGGGGTAGCTTACAACTTACAGCTTACAGACCCCTGCCCTGGGTCCATCCTTGTCCCTCCTGTTGGGGGTGTTAGGAGGTAGGGGAAACTGAGGCTTAAGTCAGGTAAATACAATGGATGCTCAGGAGTAAATATTATTTGGAGTCAGTTAACTCCCATGTTACGAAAGCCTGGCACGAACTGTCTTCCTGTGCCTATGTAAAAAGGGCATTGCTAAATAAACCATGCAAATGGCATAAAGGAAAGAGAGACACAATTAGTGCCTGATGGAATTGGGTGTGGCTCAGGAGCACTGTCGTGGGAGTAACTCAATAACTCAGGGAGTAAAGCTCCCTGCAGGAGGAGCAAAAATAAGCCAATGTTATCCAACAACTGAAGGTGGAGGTGAGTTCTGGGGAGCTTCAGGGCCAAGTCCCACGTCCCTGCCGAGAGGGTCACCCGGTCAGCCCCTCATATCCCCCCTAGTCAGCTCTCCTGGCACCCCCACTTCTGGGGGTGGGCTGCAAGCCACGATGTGCCTTCTGGGAGAGGTGGAACTAAGGAAGGAAAAAGAGGCGAGCAGGAAGGGGCAAGGATGTCCTGTAGGTGCCACTGGCCCAGGGTTTGGGTCAGATAGAACCTTCTGGAAGGAATGAACCGCAGGGGCCAGGAACAAGCAGAGACTTCCAGCTTCTCTTGGGGTGACCACGAGCAGCTGTCCTGGGAGAAGAGAGTCCGCCTGGCCCAGAGAGAGGTTCAGACCCCTGCCCGCCGCCCCAGGCCCCGGGGGTACCTCTGAACACTTGCAAGGCCCTGCCAGATCAGAGCATCAGAGAAGAGTCTTTGCTGACAGGACTGGGGTCAACCCAAAGCCTGACTGTACACACATCTACTAGGGCCCACGTGGGCTTGAGGGCCCAGCTCTCTGCCGGCCGTTGGGGCTCCTCTGGCCCCTCTTGAAGTTCCCTGAGAGGTCTGGGGACACACACCTACAAGAATCAGCGCGGCAGCTAGAGGCAAGTCCGGGGTCAGCATGGGCCTGGGGTCCCCTCTGAGGCCCCGGGACCCCATAACCTGAGACAGGAGCTGAATAATAGCTCTATCTGGTGGAGGATAAGGGGGGTGGTCTGGGGCCACCCCCAACAGAGCTCAGGACTTGCTCCTGGCTCTGTGCTCAGGGGTCACTCCCGGCAGGGCTCAGGGTGGCCCTGAGCTGCCTTCCCCGGTGCATCTCTCCAGCCCCGACTCTTCTGGTCAGCATAAACGGGTGCTGCAGGACAGAGACCTCTGGTGAGCTGGACACCATGGGGCTCATGGGCACATGGAGAATTGTCAGCCACAGGCCCTGGGCGTCTCTGTCCTCCGGACAGAACAAGCTGCTTGCTCTCCACAAGGCCGCCCGCTCCTGCCTGTCTAGTAGCGGTGGGCCCAGGAATGCTCCAGACCCTGGCAGGGAGGGCAGCATGTGCCAGGCCCCCCGGAATGTTCCAGAACCAGCCCTCCTCGCCCCCCCCAACCCCCGTGCGTGCAGTAACACCCATGCCCTGACGCTTCCAGGTGAACTATGAGCGCTTTACTCCTGCTCTTGGCAGCTCTGAGGGCCGTCACCGCCACCGACTCCATGCACATGTCAGGTGAGGGCGGGGAGGAGGGCGGGGGTGGGGGGTGGCTTGGAACCCTGCGCTCACGCCCTGTTGCCCGCAGCCCCTGACAACTCCCTGAGCGTCAGCATCCCTGAGCCGTCCCCGCTGCGGGCGCCCCTGGGCAGCACCATCACCATCCCCTGCTACTTCATCGACCCCGTGCTCCCCGTGACCACGGCCCCCGCCACCGCCCCGCTCAGCCCCCGGATCAAGTGGAGCCGCGTGTCCAAGGAGAGGGAGGTGGTGCTGCTGGTGGCCACGGAGGGGCAGGTGCGGGTCCACAGCGCCTACCAGGACCGCGCGTCCCTCCCCAACTACCCGGCCATCCCCAGCGACGCCACGTTGGAGATGCGCAGCCTGCGTGCCAATGACTCCGGCGTCTACCGCTGCGAGGTGGTCCATGGCGTGGACGACAGCCAGGCCACGGTGGAGCTGGCGGTGAAAGGTGAGGGGCTCCCGTGGCAGGAAGCAGGGGCATGGCCAGGCGCGCCGGGGTTTAAATTCCTCACATCTCTTCCCTAAAGACCCCTCCCTGGCTGGCTTTGGGCCGAGCTGGGACTAAACACTCCCATTTTGCAGACAGGCAAACTGAGTCTTTTCCTGGGCGTGGGGGCACAACTGGCAGTGCTCGGGGCTGACCCCTGGCTCTGCATTCAGGGATTACTTCTGGCAGGCTCAGGGGACCCTATGGGGTGCCAGGGATGGAATGCGGGCTGGCCGTGTACCAGGCCAGTGACCCCCTGCTGGACTATTGCTCCGGTCCCAGCAAACTGGCCTGGGTGAACCTGGCTGAGCCAAAGCTGTTGGCTGGGTCTCCTCTGCCAGCCCCCCCATTCCCGAAGCCAAAAGGAAGGGCAGACCACCCCTCTGTCCATGGCCCCAGGAGGAGGCGGGGGGCCCTGTCTGACCAAGCTGGTGGGTCAGCTTGGCGAGGGAAGGACAGACCAAGGACTTCTGGGTGGCTACGGGGCTCACCCCAGAATGGCATCTGGGAAAGGACACTTGGGGCCCAGTGAGCCTCGTTCTCCTGAGCAAATCAGGACGGCCAGAAAGAGGACATGGGGAGGGCCTGGCTCTGAGCACGGTCAGCCTGGCTTCAGTCGCTGGCACCCCTCAGGGCACCCTGAGCACTTCCAGGAGTGGGGCCTGAGCGTCGCCGGGTGTGACCCCCAAAACAAAACCAAAGAAACATCCAAAGCAAATCAGGGTCTTGGAGAACAAGACACAAGCCGTCCCATGGACAGTGAGCCGCAGAGCATGTGCTCAGTACACAGGGCTCCAAGCCTGACCCCTGGGCCCCCCGAAGGCACCTCCCAGCATCTCCAGCCGCATATCCCGAGGAGGGACCCACGGGTTCCTACACCACCCAAATCAATAAGATAAAGTGTCCAATGTCAGGGCAGTTCAGAGACTGTTTGGAATGCCAGAGCTGGCCTTTGTGGTGCTGTGTGTGTGTGTGTGTGTGTGGTCCGGGGTGGGGGGGCAGCCCCCAGGGCTCGGCGGCACCCGGCCTGACTGCCCTGGCCGGCAGGCATCGTGTTCCATTACAGAGCCATCTCCACACGCTACACACTGGATTTCGACCGCGCGCAGCGGGCCTGCCTGCAGAACAGTGCCATCATCGCCAGCCCCGAGCAGCTGCAGGCCGCCTACGAGGACGGCTTCCACCAGTGTGACGCCGGCTGGCTGGCCGACCAGACCGTCCGGTGAGAGCGTGTGTCCAGGGGGGAGCTGCCCCCGGCCACACACGTCCCCACCGCCCAGCCAGTTCCCATTCTGCCTCCCACCCTCCACAAACCCTCAGAACCCCAGCAACTCGGGGGTTGGGTTGGGTTGGGGTTGGGGGGGAGCACACCTGGCAGTGCTCAGGGCTGACTCCTGGCTCCACACTTAGGTACCCCTCCTGGGGGAAAGGAGGAGGGAGGGAAGGCGGGCAGGAAGGAAAGAGGAGGAGAAGGAGCCCTGATCCCAGCTCCCTTGCATCGCCACCATCAGCCTGAGCCTCTCCTGGGGCCGGGACAAGCATAGACACAGCCCGTCTACGGGGGTCCACACCTGAGGGGCTTCAGGGTAGGGCTGAGCGTGGCCCGATGCCGGCAGGTACCCCATCCACACGCCCCGGGAGGGCTGCTACGGGGACAAGGATGAGTTCCCAGGCGTGAGGACCTACGGCCTGCGGGACACCAATGAGACCTACGATGTCTACTGCTTTGCTGAGGACATGGAGGGTGAGTCCCACGAGCCGGTGTCTGGCAGGGGCCCGAGAGAGGAGTGTCTGCCGGCCCGGGGAACCTGTGCGGATGGCTCCCCCAGCCAGTGCTCCCGGCCTTGCTTGGACGCCCAACAAATAACCCCAACTCCATCAGGACAGCTGGCGTCCCCCAGCACTCCCGCCCCCTCCCCCCAGCCCCACCCAGCCAGACCCCAGGGCAATGGAAAGGGCCAGGAGCCCATGCGGCCAGAGAGGCAGGAGGATGAGCCCCCACCCCCGCGTCCCGCCACTCCAGCAAGTTCTGTGCTCCACTTTTCCCAGCACCCAGCGCTCTGTCCTTTGATTCCCCAGTGACCAGGTGTAAGGCTGATGACTCATGCCAAGACTGGGGCCTTCCCCCCTTTTCTCAGCCCCCCCAGGACCCTCCTGGGCCCACCCATCTATTAAGCCACAAATCTTGGTGTCCCGTTCTGGGGGGGGGGGCGGCAGTCACTGAGCGGACCCTCTGGCCTCCGCCCCACTCTGCCCACACACCTGCTCAGGATTTAGGGATAGAGAAAGGGGGGCAGGGAATGGAGCAGTAGGACAGCAGGGAAGGCATCTCAGCCTTACACGTGGCAGATCCGGGCTCCATCCCCAGCACCCTCTGAGCACCGCCAGGAGGTGACCCCTGAGTGCAAAGCCAGGAGTAAGTGCTGAGCTGACTGGTCCAAACTCCCTACAGGAAAAATAAAATAAAATAAAATAAAATAGGGCTTGCAAGGGCTGGAGAGATAGGACAGCCGGTCAGGCACTTGCTTTGCATGTGGAAGACCTGGGGTTCCCCCGAGAACTGCCAGGAGTGATTCCTGAGCACAGAGCCAGGAGCAAGCCCTGAGCACTGCCAGATGTGACCCCCAAACAGCAAAATCAGGACCTGCAGGTCCACCCAATGCTCTTCTGGATTCCGAGGGCCCAGACACCCCCACAGGGCTGGGGGTACTGATGTGGGGTATGGCTGACTTTTCCCATCAGTGTCTGGGTCGAGCCTTTGAGTCTGGAGTCAGATACAAGTGGGGGGCGGAGAAGTCGGGGTGGCACACACAGTGCCCCAATTGCTCCTCTTCTGCCTTCAGGCAGCTGGTCTCTGAGTCCCTGTCTTAAGGATCTGCCCCCGAGGCTGAGAGGAGAGGATGAGCAGGTCTAAGGCCTGGACACTGGAAGGGTCTGTAGCGGTTGGTCTCGGGGGCCGGTTCCCACCATCTGTGTTTCCCCAGGCGACGTCTTCTATGCCACCTCCCCCGACAAGTTCACCTTCCAGGAGGCAGCGGCTGAGTGCCGGCGGCTTGGCGCGCGGCTGGCTACCACGGGCCAGCTCTACCTGGCCTGGCAGGCCGGGATGGACATGTGCAGTGCGGGCTGGCTGGCCGACCGAAGCGTGCGCTATCCCATCTCCAAGGCCCGGCCCAACTGCGGCGGGAACACGCTGGGCGTGAGGACCGTGTACCTGCACGCCAACCAGACGGGGTACCCCGACCCCTCGTCCCGCTTCGATGCCATCTGCTACACAGGTAAGGCCGCAGGGAAAGCGCTTTGGGAGAAGGGCGGTGTGGAGGGTAACGCCAGAACCACCCTGTGGATCCGAGTTTCAGAACACATCCGCTACTCTCGAGGGGTTTCACAGGCCCCACGGATGCCCACCCACATCGCAGCCCAGAACAAGTTTTCCAGAACAAGCTTTGGTGGCGGCTGTGCCTTCTGGGGAAGCTGTTGGCTCAGAGTCCTGCCCCAGGGCCACACTGCCATCTGCCCTCTGCAATGACCAGTGCTCAGGAGGGGGACGCAAGCATCCCTCTGATGGTTTTTTTGTTTTGTTTTGTTTTGGTTTTGGTTTTGGGTTTTTTGGCTCACACCCGGCAACGCTCAGGGGTTCCTCCTGGCCCTGCAATCGGGAATCACTCCTGGCAGTGCTTGGGGAACCCTATGGGATGCCGGGGATCGAACCTGGGTCAGCCGCTTGCCAGGCAAATGCCCTCCCGCTGTGCTGTCGCTCTGACTCCGCCTCTGATGTATTTAGGCGAGGTCGAGGTCGGGATCTGCTGAGCTGACTGAGGTCAGCACTGCAGCCAGAGCTGACACCGAGCAACGAGCAACGAGGGGCGTGGGGACAACTCGGAGCCTCAAGGGTGTGGGCGGGAACTTCGTGCATCTCCCCTTTCCTGATGAAGAGGGTTTTGGGGATCCCCTGTTGTGCTCTGAGCTCCCCGCCAGGGTGTTCTGCTGGGGATGGTTGAGCAGGTCGGCCGGGCTCACAGTCCACTGGATTCCGCTTCCGCTTCCCCCCCATACCATCCCCAAGGCCGTGATGCGAGGTTCTAGGCAGGCAGAGGGATTTGGGAGATGTGAGACTCGTAGTGGGGGGTGGGAAGGGGCGGGCCCTGGAGCTGGTCTCCTGCTGTGTGCCCGGCACCTTTGCAGCCTGTGTCCACCCCGTCCAGGTGAAGACTTTGTGGACATCCCAGAAGACTTCTTCGGGGCCGGTGGCGAGGACATCACCATCCAGACGGTCACGTGGCCCGACCTGGAGCTGCCCCTGCCTCCCCGGAACATCACCGAGGGGGAGGCCCGGGGCAACGTGATCCTCACAGCAAGGCCCATCTTCGAGGTGCCCCCGACAGCACCTGAGCCCCAGGAGCCCTTCAGCTTCGAGCCCGACCTGGAGGCCACTGGCTTCCCCGGGGCCGAGAACGAGACTGGGGGGGCCCCTGGGCCCTGGGACTTTGCGGAGGTGCCAACGGCTGGTCCAGGCTCAGTCACCTCCTTCACCAGCGACGACTTGGTGGTGCAGGTGACCGCGGCCCCGGGAGCTGCCGAAGTCCCTGGACAGCCGCAACTGGCCAGGGGTAAGCGCCATGAGCACAAGTGGGCACCGGTGGGTACAGGTGGATACAGGCTGGCACAAGGGGCACAGGCAGGCAAGGTGGGCACAGAGGGGTACAGACAGGCATGGATGGCACCAATGGGCACAGGTGGGCATTGGCATAGGTAAAGGCGTGCTCTGGATCCAGGTGAGGTGGGGGAGGGGCCCTGCTCACTCCTCACAGCCCCTGTCTCCCTGGGGGGCCCCACTCCCTGGCTCTGCAGCCCCAGAGCCCCAAACCAGCCGCTGCCTCTCACAGAGCCCAGAAGGAAGACCCAGGTGAGGGTTTGAAGGCATTGAGAAACCTCTGCTGCCCCCCATCACCCGGGCCTCCCACACCGCCGGGAGCAGCCCTCTGCAGCTGTGACCCCAAAACACGGAAAACATCGGGCTGAAGGAGGAACATGTCATGGCTCGTGGGGTGACAGGAAACAGTGTTCAGTGGCTTAAAGCCACGGCCAGTTGTTAATGAGCCATGGGGCTAATTCGGGACTCAAGGGGCTCACCCTTAATCAGAAGAGCTGGCCCCGCAGACCCTCCAAGAACTTAGCCTAGACCCAGGAGGTGACTCGCCAGAGTACTTGCCTCCATATATGTGTCCCTGGCATTGCAAAATATAAATAAAATTGGGGCTGGAGCGATAATACAGCGGGGCGGGCGCTTGCTTTGCACGCAGCCAGCGGAGATTCCAGCCTCGGCCCCCCATAGGGTCCCCCGAGCACCGCCAAGAGTGACCTCGGAGTGCAGAGCCAGGAGAAACCTCTGCGCATCTCCGGGTGTGGCCCAGAGTCAAATGAAAATAAATGACATTTAGAAAATAAGTCTGCACGGAGTGGAAAAGATCTGCCACCCTTGTCCTGAGATGGTGTCAGGAGAATTAAGGGTCCCTGCTGTCCCCCCATGTGTCGCTGAACAGGACCTGCACTCAGGAGTGGTCTCTGTGAGGAGTTGGTGGCCCCCTATGTCTGAGGAGGAGCAGGGGGCCCGCCCTCCACCGTCAGACATGTGCAGGGGAGAGGAGAGGAGAGTGCTGAGACGGAGGGGCCTGGAGAGGTGGAGTTTGAACCAGCAGTGGGAACCGGCTTGTCTGGGAACAGAAGGGACAGTGGGAAACGGAGAGAGAGGGAGGCTGGGGAAGAGGGGAGGGAATCCCCGAGGGGCCAGAGCAGAACCTCGGGCATCGGGTCCACTTCCTGAGTCTCCCGTCCCTGTCCACCCCAGGGGTCGTGTTCCACTACCGCCCGGGCTCCACCCGCTACGCGCTGACCTTCGAGGAGGCCCAGCAAGCGTGTCTGCGCACCGGGGCAGTCATGGCCTCCCCAGAACAGCTGCAGGCCGCCTACGAGGCAGGCTACGAGCAGTGTGATGCCGGCTGGCTGCGGGACCAGACAGTCAGGTAACTGGCCAGCACCCCTGCCCTGCCCCGCCCTGGTCACTGCAACCTCCGGGATATTCTGGGGAGGGTCCTAGTCCTGGATATTCTGGGAGGGGCCTGAGAATTTTTGGTTTCTGGTTGTTTCCCCGAGACCCTTGGTTCTGACTCTGCTCTTGCCCCCTGCCTGTCCACACATCTAGGACCCCCCAGGGACCCAGGACACCCCAAACCACCCCAGAGTTCCCCCACCTTCCCCCCAGGTTGGTGGAACACAGGGAGTCCCTGGCATGAGACGTTTCTGAAGGGAACACTTCCCATCGAGTCCACCCGCCCTGCATGCCCCGACCCTGGCCTTCCCAACAGGCTCTCCCCCATCCCCTTCTTTGCAGGTACCCCATCGTGAGCCCTCGGACCCCCTGTGTGGGGGACAAGGACAGCAGCCCCGGGGTCCGGACATACGGTGTGCGCCCCCCGTCCGAGACCTACGACGTTTACTGCTATGTGGACCGGCTGGAGGGTAAAGATGGAGGGCGGGAACTCGCTTGGGGGTACCCAGCGCAGGGGGTCAGCACCCCCAGCCCATTCTCACGAGGGAGGAGCCTGTGTCAGAAAGGAAACTCAGACCCACGGTCCTCCCCCTGCCAGGGCTCAGGGCAGCCCCAGCATTATGGGGGCTCTGGTTCCATGAAACGGTGGGGACCAGAGCGACGGCAGGAGGGTGTTTGCCTTCCACATGGATGGCCCGGCTCGATCCCCGACATCCCATAGGGTCTCCGAGCCCCACCAGGAGTGATTTCTGAGTGCAGAACCAGGAGCAAGCCGTGAGCATTGCAGGGTGTGGATTCCCCACTAGGCTCAATCCTGGCACCCTGTAGGGTCCCCCAAGCACAACCAGGAGTGATCCCTGAGCACAAAGCCAGGAGTAAGCCGTGAGCACTGCCGGATGTGGCCCCAAGTCAAAATAATAATAAAAGCTACAGTGAGGGTTCAAGGAGCTGACCCCCACGGGCTGGGGTGGGGCTTGGGCTTCAGGACGCCCAGGCCCCAGCCGTGACCCCCAGCACTGCGGGTGCACCCCGAAACAAGACAAAACAGGAATGAGATGTGTAGGCGGAGTCCGGGTCAGAGGGCTGGCGCCCCCCTCCTGGAGGGTCCCTACATCCGTGGCTGGCACATGGACGCCTTGTGCCCAGGCCTGGCCCAGCCCTCGGCCTGCCACGGCTCCTTCCAGTTCTTCCCATTCAAACTATGAGCCACTCCCACACGCCCAACCTGGAAGGGCCAGTGTCCAGTAGCCGGGCAGGCCTCTGTCTCTGGGACCTGGGCACATGGCCCCCCCCCCCCCACTCCCCGCACCTCCGCCCTGTGTCCTGCTACAACATGGGCTGAGAAGGAAGGAAGGAAGCGGCCGGTCTGGAGCGGGGCCTCAGGACCCACCGGGCGTCCATCTCCCAGACGTGGCCATCAGCCTCCCCCTGTCAGCGCCTCCAGTGGGGAGCTGAAGGCTGGATCGTCCCCTGTCCTCCCTGTGGATTCCTGGGGAGCCCTCCTAGTGCCTGGAAACTGAACAGAGAGAGGAAGCCGGGGCCTGGGGTCCCTGCGGGTCAGGGTGTGGGAGGGCTCACATGTGCCCCCTCTGTCCCTAGGGGAGGTTTTCTTCATCACCCGCCTGGAGCAGTTCACCTTCCAGGAAGCCCTGGCCGCCTGTGCCAGCCACAATGCCACCCTGGCGTCCACGGGCCAGCTCTATGCCGCCTGGAGCCGCGGCCTGGACAAGTGCTATGCGGGCTGGCTGGCTGACGGCAGCCTCCGGTACCCCATTGTGACCCCACGGCCCGCCTGCGGTGGGGACAAGCCGGGCGTGAGGACGGTCTCGCTCTACCAGAACCAGACAGGCCTCCCGGACCCCCTGTCTCGACACCACGCCTTCTGCTTCCGAGGTACGAGCGCCCTGCAGCCCCCTTCTGACAGCGACAGGGGCTCTGTCCACCCCGACCCCCACCCCACAGGGACCCTCACACCCTGCTCCCCCAGGTACATCTGCAGTGCCATCTCCCGGAGAAGATGGGGACACCCCCACACTGTCCTCAGTCGAAGAGGACCTGATGGTGACCCAAGTGGCCCCCGGAGTGGCTGCCGGTCCCCTGGAGGAAGAGATGACCATCACCCCTGGCTTCACAGAGCCTGAGAACCAGACGGAGTGGGTGCCCGAGCACACCCCCGCCAGCCAGTACCCACTGCCAGGTCAGTGCCAGTTGTCCTCTGCAAGGGTCTGGGACCCAGCCCCAGGGAGGACAACTGTTAAATCTGCAGGAAAGAAACTTCTGGAAGTCGCAGGGGGTGGGTGGGGAGTGATAGGACAGCAGGGTGGGCACTTGCCTTGCACACGGATGACCCGGGTTCAACCCCCTCCACCTCATATGGTCCACTGAGCACTGCCAGGAGTGATCCCTGAGCACAAAGCCAGGAGTAAGTCCTGAGCAGTGCCAGGTGTGGCCCGAAACCAAAACAGAAACAAACCAAAAAAGAGGGTCCACAGCGATAGGACAGCGGGCAGGGCACTTGCCTTGCATGCAGCCAACCCAGGTTCAATCCCCGGCACCCCCTAGGGTCCCCCGAGCAGCACCAGGAGTGGCGCCTGAGTGTGGAACCAGGGGAGCCCCTGGGCATCACGAGTGTCCCAAAAAGAAAAAACAGAGGAAAGGAGTAAAAGAAACTTCTGGGAGCTCCTTTGGAGGGGCAGGGCTGCCTTCAGCCAGGGCTCCAGAAGTGAGAGTGAGGGGGTGAGACTGGCAGGTGTGGGCAGCTGAGCCCAGGTGAGGGACATCCTCGTCCAAGTCTGAGGTTCGGCCCTCCTGCTCCTGAGCCAGGGTGTCACCCCCAAATGGGCTTTTCTTTCAAGCTTCTGCTGAAAGGGGACAGGACACCCCCTCCCTGGCCACCCCACTGAGATGAGACTGTGGAGGGGCTAAAGGAGTGGCCAGGGCTAGGCCCTGAGTCCCATGGCACCCTGAGTCTCCCGAAGTTCAGCCCCCCACTTCCTGCACCACGGCCAATCTTGGGGAGGCCCTGGGGCAGCTGCTAAAGCCACACCTCCCCTCCCCTTCCCTGCAGGGCCCCCTCCCACATGGCCTCCCACGGACACAGCCACAGAGGAAGGCACAGAAGGGCCCTTCGTGTTGCCCGGGGCCTCGGAGGAGATGTCCACACTCCCCCCACTGCAGCCCCGCGGGACCCAGCTGCCAGGTGCTGAGGAGACATCCGGGGACCTCTCGGGCAGTGGAGATGTTTCTGGCCACCTGCACGCCAGCGGGCAGCCCTCAGAAGGCCTGGACTCCACTGCCCGCCCTGACCTGGGCTCAGGCCTGCCCGAAGAGAGTGGATCAGCCTCTGGGGATGGAGACAGAATTGTGGGCGCCAACGTCCCTGAAGTTGGAAAGCTTCCACCAGGAGGCAAGGAACTTGAGGGTCCGGCCTCTGGGGGTGAGGAGCTCAGTGGACTTGCTTCTGGAGAAATTCCAGAAGTTTCTGTCTCTGGAGAAAGAGAGTTTGGTGGTGTTCCTTCTGGAGAAGGTCCAGAAGTTTCTGCCTCTGGAGAAAGAGAGTTTGGTGGTGTTCTTTCTGGAGAAGGTCCAGAAGTTTCTGCCTCTGGAGAAGGACAGTTTGGTGGTGTTCCTTCTGGAGAAGGTCCAGAAGTTTCTGCCTCTGGAGAAGGACAGTTTGGTGGTGTTCCTTCTGGAGAAGTTCCAGAAGTTTCTACCTCTGGGGGACAGGAGCTCAGTGGAATTAGTTCTGGAGAAGTTCCAGAAGTTTCTGCCTCTGGAGAAGGGGAGTTCACTGGAATTCTTTCTGGACAAGCTCCAGAAGTTTCTGCCTCTGGAGGACAGGAGTTCAGTGGTGTTCCTTCTGGAGAAGTTCCAGAAGTTTCTGCCTCTGGGGGACAGGAGCTCAGTGGAATTAGTTCTGGAGAAGTTCCAGAAGCTTCTGCCTCTGGAGAAGGGGAGTTCACTGGAATTCTTTCTGGACAAGTTCCAGAAGTTTCTGCCTCTGGAGGACAGGAGTTCAGTGGTGTTCCTTCTGGAGAAGTTCCAGAATTTTCTGCCTCTGGGGGAAAGGAGCTCAGTGGAATTAGTTCTGGAGAAGTTCCTGAAGTTTCTGCCTCTGGAGAAGGGGAGTTCACTGGAATTCTTTCTGGACAAACTCCAGAAATTTCTGCCTCTGGAGGACAGGAGTTCAGTGGTGTTCCTTCTGGAGAAGTTCCAGAATTTTCTGCCTCTGGGGGAAAGGAGCTCAGTGGAATTAGTTCTGGAGATGTTCCAGAAGCTTCTGCCTCTGGAGAAGGAGAGTTCACTGGAACTCCTTCTGGAGAAGATCTAGAAGCTTCTGCCTCTGGCAGAGGGGTGTTCACTGGAGTGCTTTCTGGAGTTCCAGAAGCTTCTGCCTCTGGAGATGATGACCTTGGGGCCCTTCCTTCTGGAAGGGAAAGTCTAGAAACTTCTGCTTCTGGGCTTGAGGGCCTCAGCGGCTCAGCCCCTGGGAAGGGGGACTTTGGAGGCTCTGCTTCTGGAGCCTGGGACCTCGGTGGGTTGCCCTCTGGAGTCCTGGGCAGTGGGCTCACACCAGAAGTCAGTGGCCTTCCCTCAGGACTTGGTGAGTATTCTGGGGTGGACCTTGGGAGTGGCCCTTCCTCTGGCCTGCCTGACTTCAGTGGACTGCCCTCGGGCCTCCCCACAGTCTCCCTGGTGGACACCACTCTGGTGGAGGTTCTCACGACCACCACCGCGGGGGAACTGGAGGGGCGGGGGGCCATGGGTGTCAGCGGTGCTGGTGAAGTCTCTGGACTGCCCTGGGGCAGCGAGCTGGACATCAGTGGGGCGGCCAGTGGATTTTCTTCAGGGGCCGAACCCAGCGGCCAGGCCCCTGGAGCTCCTGACATCAGCGGGCGGGTATCAGGGTTCCCCGGGGAAACATCCGGGATGCCTGATCTCAGCGGACTCTCCTCGGGACAACCAGACATCAGCGGAGAAGCTTCTGGCATTCTGGTGGGCAGTGGTCAACCATTCGGTGTGACCGGGGTGAGTGAAGGAGAATCAGGGGTCCGCGATGTCAGCGGGCAGCCCTCAGGGTGGCCAGAGCTCCATGGGACCCCCTCTGGGGCGACAAGTGGCAGTGGGGACGTCACCTTTGTGGACACCCATTTGGTGGAAGCGGTCCCAACCCCGTTTAAGGGACAGGAAGGCTTGGGGTCCGTGGAGCTCAGCGGCCTCCCTTCTGGGGAGACCGAGCTCACAAGCGCCTCTGGCACGGTGGAGGGCAGCGGCCGGGTGCTCGGAGCTGCAGAGTCCTGGGAGCTGAGCCCGCGGCCCACAGACCTCCGAGGGCTGCCGAGCAGTGAGGCGGAGGTGAGCGGAGACGCTTCGGGAGCAGAGGCTGGGAGCGGGGGTACCTCTGGCCTCCCCACGGTCTCACTGGTGGACAGGACTTTGGTGGAGTCTGGAACCCCAGCTCCCACTGCCCAGGAAGCAGAAGGACCTTCAGGCGTCTGGGAACTCAGTGGGGTCCCTTCGGGTCTCGGGGACCTAAGCGGACTCCCGTCTGGTCCAGCGGAGCCCAGCGGAACTCCCGCAAGCTCCCCACCTTTCAGCGAAGATTTTCCCAGCGCCACCGCTGACATCAGCGGGGACGGCTCTGCAGCCACGGGCACCAGCGAGGAACCCTCAGGGCTCCCGGAAGTCCTGGAGGGAGTCACGAGCCCCACAATTCTGCAGGAACTGGGCCAACGGCCCCCAGAAACTCAATTCCCCCGGGTGCCAGAGTCCAGTGGAGACGTATCAGGATCTGGGGACATGAGCGGGAGCATTCCAGGATCCAAGACGGAAACCTCGGAGGTGCCAGAATTCAGCAAAGAAACATCTGCTTACCCTTCACCTGAAATGGGGGTGTCGGCCACCCCCGAGGCCAGCGGAGGAGCCTCAGGGTCCCCTGACCTGAGTCAAGTGCCCTCATCCTTCCCGGGGACAGCGTGGGAGGACTCCACCGCCCCGGAGCTGAGTGGAGAACCGGCAGAGCCCACTGACGCCACGTATGTAAGCACCCGTGATGCTTCGGGCTGGACTCTGGCCCCACCCCCGGCTTCTGGAGACAGGATGGAGGGCAGCAGCTCCGGCCTGGACATCATCATCGCCACACGAGTCCCTGAGTCTGAGTGGACCCAGGAGAGTCAGCCGCCTGCCGAGGCTCTGGTGGAAACCGAGGCATCCAGCCCACTGCACTCGGGAGAAGACGACCAAACAGCCACTGCTGCCAGCCCCTCCACAGACGACGTGTCCAGCCTCCCGGAAGACGCTGATGAGGCGGGAGACTCCTCTGCAGGTACTTCTGCCATTTCTCCGGGAAGGGGTTTGGGTATTTCCAACTTAGGGGCCGGGGGCAGGCAGTGTGATTCAAAGGTCTGAGTTCCCCAGATTCTGTGCAGCTCCAAGGAAATTTCTTGTGTCTTGTCGACATAATGCAAGGGTCCAGGCTGGAGCGACAGGACAGCAAGAGGGTGCTTGCCTGGCACGTGGTCAACCTGGGTTCAATCCCCGGCATCCCATAGGGTCCCTTGAGCACCACCAGGAGTAACTCCTGAGTGCAGAGCCAGGAGGAACCCCTGAGCATCACTGGGTGTGGGCCCAAATATAAAAATAAGTAAAAGGTAAGGTCCCAGGGAGGATTAAAGGGAAGAATGCATACGATGAGGGCCAGAGAGATAGTGCAGTAGGGAGGGTGCTCACCTTGACCCAGGTACAATCCCTGCACTACACAGGGTCCCCTGAGCCCCTCCCCCAGGAGTGATCCCTGAGTCCAGAGGCAGAAAGAGGTAAGCCCCAAGAACCACTAGGTACAGCCCAAAAATTTTAAATCCCTATCAAGAAACACGTAACAATGCAAGAACTTGGCTGACAACTGACTTTGGAAAGAGTACAAGAGCTGTTCTTTCTCAAGTTACCTCCAAAGTCCAAGGAAATGCATGATCCATGAGCCCCACCAGGACTGATCCCCAAGCACAGAGCCAGGAGTCAGCCCAGAACACAGAACTAGAAATGAGTCCCAAGCACAGAGCCGGGAATCAACCCTGAGCGCAGTGCCGGGAGTGAGCCCTGAGCACAGAACCAGGAGTCACCCTGAGCACAGAGCCAGGAGTGATCCCCAAGCATAGAGCCAGGAGTGAGCCACTAGCACACAGCCAGGAGTCAGCCCCGAGCACAGAGCCAGGAATGAGCCCTGAGCACTGAGCCAGGAGTGTGCCCCGAGCACAGAGCCAGGAATGAGCCCTGAGCACTGAGCCAGGAGTGTGCTCTGAGCACAGAGGCAAGAATGAGCCCTGAGCACAAAGCCAGGAGTCAGCCCTGAGCAGAGCCAGGAGTCAGCCCTGAGCACTGAGCCAGGAGTCAGCCCTGAGCACAGAGCATGGTGTCACCAGGGCGGGCCCTGACTAGAGAGGAGAGGGACAGAGCTGCCATCCCTCTGCTGTCACATCTCGGGACACCGAGTCCTTTCCCCATCATGGAGCTCCCCAGAGGCCCAGCTGTCTAGGAGCCCCCGAATGCTGACCCAGTGCAACCCTCTCGGCTCTCTGGGGACGCTGACCTCTCGCCGTGCAGTTCGCCCCAGGTCCTGTGCCGAGGCCCGCTGTGGCGCTGGGACCTGCCAGGAGACAGAGGATGGTGTGGTGTGCCTGTGCCCCGCTGGTCACGCCGGTGAGCACTGCGACATAGGTAAGCCCTCGGTCACCGGGCAGCGGGGGGGGGGGGGGGGGGGCATTCAGGAGCTGAGTATGAGCCCTGCGTGGCCTGAAAACAGGGTTGGGTGGGTGGGGGTGCAGCCACTCCTGACCCAACTTCCCAGGAGGGGCCTTGCAGCCGTCAGTGGAAACCCCAGCCCACCCCCAAGTCTCTGGCCCCCTGTACGCCTGCGGAAGTGAGTCAGTGGGGGCTACTGGCAGGGAGTGCCACCCGGACCCCATCACCTCTCCCTGGCTCAGCCCAGGCTGTATGATGGGATGCCCCAGGGACCGCCCAACACCAGAGTCCCCAAACCTGCGAGGGGATACTGTCTGTGCCAGGGCCCGCCTCCCCTGCCCCACGTGGCCCCTGGGCTCTGAATATCCCGCTCCGGATCAGAGCAGGACCTTTGGAAAAGGCTCTTTTCCTGGCCCAATCACCATCATGATGCTTTGGGGGAGGTCTCACACACGCACACACATGTATACATACACACATACACACACATACACATACATATGCACACATTCACACACATGCACACATACACGCACACACATATACTCATGCACACACATGCACACATATATGCATGTACACATTACACATACTACACAGGCATGTGCACATGTGGTATGTGGACACACACGTGCACATATACACACGTGCACACATACACGCACAAGCACATGAACGCACATATATGCACATGTGCACACACACACATATACACGTGCACACCTCAGATAGTGGCGCTCAGCATCTGTGCCCACCTTTTCACCCCTCCTAAAGGGCTGTGACAGTGTCTGTCCCTGTCGTTGACCTTAGGTCACATCTGACGTCCCCATGTAACCACATGCCCAATGGGGGGCCGCCAGCTATGCTGTCCCCTCTGGGAGGGTCCCACCTGGATCTCTGTGGCCATCCCAGGCTGGAGGTGCTGATCCTCCTGCTGGCTGCAGGGACAGTTGTGCCAGGGCCTTGGTGACCCCCAGGAATGTGGCCCCTCCCACATCACCCTCCTCCTCCTGATTCCCAACCCTGCCCGGAGCCCATCAGGAGGGGTGGGGGCTACAGAGCACAGAGGGGCTGCCTCCTCCTAGGAGAGAAATCTCAGGGGCTCTGTCCAGCAGGTCAGGGCTCAGAGTCCATGGCCACTGCCCTGGGTCCAGTGTCCTGGTGAACTTGGGATGGTCTGCACAGTCCGTTCCCCAGGGGAGCATGTGGAGGGGTGCCCCTGAGGTGGTGGGGGGCAAAGGACCAGTGGCCCTGCCCTAGCAGGTCAGCAGACCCCCACCTGCCCCCGCACCCACGCACAGCAGCCATAACGCAGGCCCCACACGGCTCTTCCTCTCGAGTCTGTTCCCAAAGGGCCTTTTCACCACCTCCGTCCCGGCAGCGAGCCCATCCCCGCTGGGACAAGGGCATCTAAGATCCCCTGACTGGCCTGAAACCATGGAGGGGCCCACCAGGCCTGGGGTCTCTCTCAGAGTGTCCCCATAGGACAGTGGGGTTAGAGTCAGACCAGACCGGGGGATGCAGGGGTGAAGGGCCACGTTATGGGGTCTGAGAGGGCCTCCAATACCCCCTCCACAGCTGCTCAACCTAGTTTGCAGGTAGGGTCAAAGGGAGAGTGATCCTCAGCCTGGCCCCCCACCCCACCCTGATGGACATGGTCCTGGCACTGAGGGGGAGCACCAAGAGGCTCATAGGTGACAGGGCCGGGGAGACGCCCCTGGGGCTGAGTGCAGGCACTGTATGCTGGAGGTCCAGCTCCATCCCAGGCCCCACGCAGCCTCCAACACTGCTGGGAATGACCCCCAAGCACTCTGCCAAGACAAGCCCCCAAATGCTGCCAGCGTTGGCTCCAAACACTGAAATACAATTTCCAGAAGACTCCACAGCACAGCTGGGGCAAGGCCAGGCTTGGGAGGCCTGAGCTCAGAACACCGTGTATAAGGAGGAGCTAATAAAAGCCCCCCTGCCCCATCTGAGCCCCACTAGACAGGAAAGACTTCAGAGATGGAAGGTGGAAGGGTCCTCCGGGCTCCCTGGGCAGGGCCAGCTCCTGCCATCTCATCTTGGAACCCAGAGCCACGTCCAGGCTCTTAAATGCCCAGAGGTCAGGCGCTTGCCCTGGATGCAGCCGTCCTGGTTCAATTCCTATGTGGTCCCCTGACCTCAGCAGGGTAGGACCCACCCACCCCCCACCACACACACACACACACACACACACACACACACACACACACACACATCCATATACCCAAGAGATCAGGAACTTATACTGGCAACTCAGAAACATCCGCATCCCCCAGCCCTTCCCATCTAGTCGTGGAAACACATATTGGACGAGTGTATGTCTAAAGCACTTAAGCCCAACTCGTGCCAGCACCTGTCCTGTTTGTGTCCCACGGCAGGCGTGAGGGGCTGAATCCTCTGAGAGTTGCATTTGGGTCCATGCCCCCACCGGACACCGCCCCCGGGCCCCACCAGGATTGAGCCCTGAGCACAGCTCAGTGTGGCCCCCAAACCAGACTCCCCGACTCGTGTGCGTGTGAGAACTGACGGTCGCTGAGCGGACTTTCCCATTTAATGCTATTCATCCTGCTCGGGCATTGGAGCTAGCAGAAGGATCCGTCCCCCAAAGGCCGCCCCCAAGTACCTGCCTGCCCAGTGACCTGCCTGGCACAGCCTCTGCGATCGTCTCTGGGAGTTAGAGAGCTAGTACGGGAGTCGGCAGAGAAAGGGAGGTGCCTGTCTTGCATGCAGCAGATCCTGGTTCAGTTCTCAGCCCCCCAAACCCCCAGAATCACGGGTGCCTAGTGGTCCCGGGCCCCCAGGTCCCGAACATCACCATGTCCTTGGGATCCTGCATGGAACCGACCTGGATGTCCAAGAATCCCCCAGAGAAGTCCCTAGACTCCCTCTCTCAAGGAAGCAATTAGAGGCCATAGAGATAGTGCAGCAGGGCAGCACTGGCCTTCCACGCAGCACCCCACAGGGTCCCCTGAGCCTGCCAGGAGTGATCCCTGAGCACCGAGCCAGGAGTCAGCCCTGAGCATCATCAGGTGTGGCCCCAAAACCAAAAACTGAGAAATCAGTCATCTGGGCTTCTTTCCTTTGGCTGAAATTCCCACCCAGGGCTGGAGATGCAGTTCAAGGGTACAGCCGTGCTCGCTGAGGCTCTCGGGCCCTTCCCCAGCCCTGGAAACAATGACAGTGAGGTCCAGGGCAGCAGCTGCACAGACCGGGCTGGACGGACTTGGGATGTCCCTCACCACATTGCCCTGGGCAGCCCCCAAGTGTCAGCCATGGCTGCCTCTCAGTCGTTCCCTGGGCCAGCACCCTCCTGCCCTGGGTTCCCACCTGAGGACCCCGAGCAAAAATCACCTTGGTACCCAAAAAGCAATACTGGAGGGGGGGGGTGTCATGTTCCAGAAGATTCTGAGAGTGTGTCATGTTCCAGAAGATTCTGAGAGCTCCCAGCTGCCTTCTTCTTCCTTCCTTCCCGCCGTGACCCCGCTCCCGGCCAGCCTGGGGCTCTCCTTGGCCGCCTCTGGGGCTCTCCTGGCCTGTGCCCCCATGAAGCTGCTTAAGCACCCGCAGTGACTCCACACAGAGCTGTCCTCTGCAGGAGACCCAGCCCAGCTTCCCTGCTGCTCCCGCTGCTGCTGGGAACCGCGGCCTGTGCCCGGAATCCCGAGTGCATGCCGGGGCGCCCCTCAGCACCCCCATGCATCAGGGTCTCGCTCCTGACCGCTCCCAGCCGGGAACCATCGGTTTCTAATACCTTTAATTGAGCCGCTGGGGGGAAAGGCTGAGAGGTCCAGAACCATCCCGCGGGGCACGCCCAGGTCTGCTCCGGGAGATGCCTGTGCCTGCACTCGTGACAAGGACTAACGCTTCAGGGGACGGCTCTGGCCTTACACACAGCCAATCCATGAGAACCCCGAGCACCACCAGGAGTGATCCCTGAGCACAGAGTCAGGAGTCAGCCGTGAGCATCACCGGGTGTGAAACAAAAAGAAAAAAAAGAGAAGAAGAAGAGAATGTTCCAGCCTCCCTGCGCGGGCAAAGTCAGAGGACGCAGCGCGTGTGGGGCGCACCGTGGACACGTTAGGGGTCCTGGGGATGGGTGAGCCCCACTCTCTGCAAGCCATGCTCACTGGCCACGGTGCTGGACTCAGTTCTCCAGACGAACCAGCAGATGCTTCGACGACAGACACAGAGGGTGGCGCAGGAAATGCCCCCCCAAAAAAGAAAATTCTCATCTCCCCGGGTCAGTGGCCACTTCCCGGCTGAGTGCCCACCCAACCCCACCCTGAAAAAATTTGCAGAAGACCAGGGCGGGAGGAGACTGAAGCCTGGAGTGGAGTAAGACCTGGGGAACAATTCTCCAGCCTCAGCCGCGGGAGCCCCTCTAGACAGGAGGGGACGCCCACCCTCTGCTCCTCCCTGAGACGAGACGCAGAGGCCAACGCTGTTTGCAGGAGGCTCCTGAAGGGACTTAGGGGAGAAAAGGGGGCGTCGGCAGCAGGAGAAGAATAGGGGCGAGTGCCAAGCACCCTGTATACGTCCTGACCACTGGGCGTGAGAGGAACCTGCCCTCGCTGAGCCTGGGGGGCTCAGTTCCCGGACAGTGGCCCAGCCTGAGCGCCACCCACCAGACAGAAACAAACTCCCAGAGAGAAAAGCAGCGTGCGGCTCTGACTCCGGGACCCACTCCGGCACATCCTCGGGGGACCGTGGTGTTGGCACACAGGATCCTGAGCAAGCAGCATTGCTGCCGGGGGCCCGCGGGGTGCTAACGGGGGCCCTTGGTTTCTTGCAGACATTGACGAGTGCTTCTCAAGCCCTTGTCGGAACGGAGGCACCTGCGTGGACGGGGCTGCCGCTGTTACATGCTTGTGCCTTCCCAGCTACCGAGGCGACCTGTGCGAGACCGGTAGGCCGGCTCGGCGAGGCTTCAGCTAACGTCGCTGACGGCAGCGCCCCTCCCCCTCTCCTGCTAACCCAGCTTCCAGGCCGGCCGCTCCCTAGGGCTGCACCCCCTCCACATCTGTCCTCTGCGGGGGGGCGGGGGGAGTTGGGACCAGGAAGCGAGATTCGGGGGTGTCTTGAAAGCACCTTCTGCTGGTGCTTCTCCCAGGCCCACAGTGGGTGCAGGGGCAGTAGGCACCAGCTTTGCATGTGAGACTCGCGGGAACGGGAAGGACGCATCTGTCTTTCTGGAAGAAGCGAGGCGGGGGAGGGGCAGCGCACCAGCTCTGGACGGGGCCGGCGTGGGGCTGCATGCTCGGGCCGGGCTGCCCGCATGCTCTAGCAGGACCCCCGCATGCCCCCTGCTCTTCACTAGCGGCCTGCCGGCACCACCGTACCTGGCTTCCCTCATCCCTTCCTGGGCCGGGCAGCCAGGCAAGCCAGGGAGAACGGGGTGCCCAGCTGGGCAAGCAGGAGCTGTTCTGCTTCTGCACCTGGGCCGAGCTCTGGCCTGGGGCGCAGAGGGCAGGCGCTCGCCTCACATGCGGCCCGCCCCATTCAGCCCCCGGCACCTGTATGATCCCAAGCGCCGCCAGGCATGATCCCTGGGCACCACTGAGTAGGACACCCCCCTGACAAAACCATGCTCTGGAAACTCGCCAGCAGACGTGCCAGAAACCTCCAGAAAAGAATGGAAACGCCTAGCTCGCCTCCATGGGTGCCACATGGGCAGGGGGCTCTGGAGGGGGCGTGCTCCTCGCAGGCACAGCCAAGGCGTAGGGTCACCCTGGAGCACCCTCCCCTCCTGCAGCCTCAGACCCCAAGAATAAGTGTCTGGTGTTGTTAGGGTTGCGGGACAGAGGGTGGGTACAGGGATGCCAATATGCAGGCCGAGTGTCTGGAAAGCCTCTTGGCACTGGACAGAGAAGGTGGTGCCAGGCCTGGGAGGTAGGCGTCCCTGAGGAACAGACGGTGCCGGGGGCCCCCCCATTCCCGCCCTGAGCCCTGGTAATGTCCTCCAGGTCTCAGGCAGCTGCTGCTTCCAGCCTTCTAGAATTCTCTGGCTGTTCCTGCAGACTGCCACCCAGCATGGCCTGGTCCCTTCTCCAGCTGCATAACATAACAATGCTCAGGTCCTGCAGTGACCAAGAAGTGACCCACAAGCATGGGCCAGAGCAGTAGGACAGTGGACAGGCTCTTGCCTTGCATGCAGTTGACCTGGGTTCCATCCCTGGCACCCCATAGGATCCCCCGCGCCCTCTCCCAGGAGGGATCCCTGAGCGCGGAACCGGGAGTAAGCCCTGAGCACTGCTGGGTGTGGCCCCCCATACAAGAAAAAAGTGACCTCATAGGGCACCTCCATCCACCCCTATCTCCCCCTAGAAGCATAGGTGGCCCCTACCCCTTGGACAGCCCGGGGCTCCTGGGCAGCCCCTCATCAGGAGGGCAGTTCTGAGCAGGCCCCCTTCCCAGAAGGCCCTTGAAGGCAGAGTTGGAGAGACAACCCCCCAACTCCCTGGGTTACTAAAGCGTGTCCAAGACGTGTGTGCCCCTTCCCAGCTGCCACAGAAGACAAAATGTCCATCTGCCTGCACCCCCGCCCCTCCTCGGGAGTCCCTGGGGCCTGGGATCCACATTTGTCTCCCCCGGTCCTGGGCCTGACAGGCCTGCCAGATCAGGCATCAGCGGGAAAAAGCTGGGGGCAGGGTAGGTCATCAGGGACAGAAACGCGCCCCCCGCCAAGTCCTGCACTGTGTTGCAGACCAGGAGCTGTGCCAAGAGGGCTGGACCAAGTTCCAGGGCCACTGCTACCGCCACTTCCCCGAGCGCGCCAGCTGGGCGGACGCTGAGGGCCGCTGCCGGGAGGAGGAGGCGCATCTCAGCAGCATCCTGACCCCCGAGGAGCAGGAGTTCGTCAACAGTGAGTGCAGGGCTTGGCGCACGGGTGGGGGTGCAGTGCCTGTCTTGGGAGCCCCCCAGCCTCAGACGCTGCCCCGCCCCCATGCAGGCAATGCCCAGGACTACCAGTGGATCGGCCTGAATGACCGCACCATCGAAGGGGACTTCCGCTGGTCAGACGGGCACTCCTTGGTGAGTCCGCGGCTGGAGTAGCCTGCGGAGTGGACCTGGAACAGGGCAGGATGGAGAAGCCGGGGAGGCTGGACTTGGGGGCCCATCTGGGGTGCAGCATCCTCTGCCACCCAGGCAGCCTGGAGGCTTGGCCTGCTTCCTGGGGGCCGCAGACCCCCGGCCGTTTAGGGCGAGCAGCTGGGGGCCTGCCAGCCCCTGGCCCAGCCCCTGACCCGTCCCCCCCACCCCACCCCCAGCTATATGAGAACTGGAGGCCCAACCAGCCCGACAACTTCTTTGCTACCGGCGAGGACTGCGTGGTGATGATCTGGCACGAGAAGGGGGAGTGGAATGACGTGCCCTGCAACTACCACCTGCCGTTCACCTGCAAAAAGGGCACAGGTGAGGGCTGCACGGGTGCGAGTCACGTGGCGGCACAGGCGGAGGGAGGATCCCGGGACGCGCGGGCGCGGTGAAGCCGCAGGCCAAGAGGGCGGGAGGCCGCGGGTACCCAGTGCCAGAGAGGGACTCAGGGGCGTCCAGGGAACTCCCAGCCGCTCGCGGACCCCGCCCCCGCACGGCCGCTGCCCACCTGTGCCCCGGCGCCCACTGGAGACCGCGTGTCCCCCGCAGTGGCCTGCGGACAGCCCCCCGCGGTGCAGCACGCGCGGCCCCTGGGCCGGCCCAAGGCGCGCTACGAGATCAACGCGGTGGAGCGTTACCAGTGCGCGCGGGGCTTCGTCCAGCGCCACGTGCCCACCGTCCGCTGCCTGCCCAGCGGCCAGTGGGAGGAGCCCCGGGTCACCTGCACGGACGGTGAGCGGGGGCCGGGGAGGGCGGGACTGGGAGGTCCCGGGCGGGTTGGGGGCCGCTGCCCGCGCTGCCCACCGCGCCCGGGAAGGGCGTGGCCGGAGCCCCGTGGAGGTGGCCCGAGGCCGCGTCCCCTCCGTCCCCTCCGGGCTCACGGCCCCGCTCGCCCCCAGCCGCCACCTACCAGCGCAGACGCCGGCAGCGGAGCCCGCGGCGGCACCGACCCGCAGGACACTGAGCCCGCAGCCCGCCAGGCTGACCGCTGGCCCTCAGGGAGCCGCTGTCCAGGAGAGGGAGCCAGCCAGGCCCCTCCACCGAGTGCCCCCGTGCCCCCACACACCCGCCCCAACGCCAAAGCCGACGATGTGTCCTGAGCCACACGGGGACCGTGCGGACCGCCGGGGACGGAGGGTGAGGGGGGGAGTGAGACCGAGGCGACCCCCGGCCCCGCACAGCTGCTGTGGGTGTCCTGTCCCCGCGGGGCGCCGGGGCAGGGCTGGGTGGGGCCCTTCCTCCCCGGGGCCCCTCCCGCCCCTCCCGCCCCCGGGACCGTGCAGGCTTCAGGGTTCCACGCACCTATTTATATTTTTGAAAACTGAAGATGATTATAAGAATAATAAAAGACCTTGGAAGAGACCTGTTTGTGTTTAAAACTGAAGCCAGGGGCCAGGGCGGTGGGACAGCGGGTGTGGCCGAAAATAAACTGGAAGAAGAGTCACCCCAGCCGGGGTCTGGGAGGGAGCGTGGATCAAAGGCCCCCACCTGTCCCCCCACCCATGGCATGGCGCAGGAAGGGTCCCAGGAGAGACCCAAGCAGGGGCGTGACACCCCAGGAGAGACCCAGGCAGGGGCGGGACAGGGTTGTCAGCAGTGAGCCCCGCTGTTCCCCTGCGGGTCTGCTCAGGTCAGAATGCGGCTGTTCTGAGACCCCAGCCCTGAACCAACCTCCCAGGTTTGTGCAGGAAGGGAACCCCTACCCCCCTTCCCCTCTGGGCAGCTCACTAGGAAGGCACTATCCCAGACCTACAGCCAGTTAGTCCATTAGCAGGCCGAGTTCTAGAAAATTCTCCCCGCCCCCTCCTCCTCCCCGGTCTAGGGGTCTAGGGGTGAGCCCTGGCACCAGCTGGCCCTAAGCAGAGGTGGAGAAGCGGCGGTATGTGGGGGTATGTCCCAGCCCCCACCTCAAACCCTGTGCAGGGTGGTACCCTGGGCCTCCCCCAGCTGAAGGGTCAGAGTTTCCAGCCGGTTGCCCTGCCCTGGCCAGCCCTGCGGGTCAGAGAAAGTGGAAATTTCCGCAGGACGAGCAGCCATCTGGGGAGGAGGGAGCAACCCTGCATCCGCTCCCCACCCCAGCCAGCGGCTTGAACCGCACTCAGGCTGGAGGGAGGGAGCCTCAGGCACCCCCAGGCATCCGTTCCTGCCCCCACCCCCCACAGGGGAGCTCAGGAACCCCGGAGGGCCGGGGCTGGTGGGCACAGCTGACCATCCCGGGCCCGAGTCCACGCAGCGCCAACCCAGGAGACGGAATGAGTCACACACAGGAGTGGGGGTGACATAAATACTCTTGTTGCCGGCCTGCGGGAGAGAACCAGCGTGCAGACCCCCTCCCACCCCCTCAGTCTCTCTTGGCTTCCGGGCCAGGGCTGGGAGGAAACGGTGGGGGTGGAGGGGCGGGGCGGCAGGAGTGGCCATCTCTCCAGGCTGGGGAGGTGCAAGAGACCTGCACCCCCTCCCCGCCCGTCCGGACACCCCCGACTTCCCCAAGATCGAGGGGCTGGGCGGAAGGAGGGCTGGGGCGCGGGCGAGGGGGAGGGGAGCCCGCCCCGAGGAGCTGCCATGGGGGCCCTAGCAGCCCAGCAGCTCCACGCGCAGGGTGATGCGGTTGTGCCAGGCCACGGGCAGGATGCGCACGAAGCGTGCCATGAAGGGCGTCTCAAACACGTTCTTCTTGTGTGACTCATTGTCCAGATTGCCAGGGAAGATCTGGGGACAGAGGGCAGGGCAGGGAGCGGTGAGGTGCGCCGGGGCTGGAGGGGCGCCCCCACCCCGGCCCCACGGCGTGCCCACACCACCCACCTTACTCTCCGTGGCACCCTGCTCGTGGTACTCGGTCCAGTTCAGGCCGTTGTCACTGTGCGCGATCTTGTAGGCAGCCACGTACTGCACGTGGCCAAAGTCCCGGGCACCCTGGGTGATGATGCCCGTCACCCGCTTCTGGGTGCCCAGGTCGATCTGCAGGGAAAGGCCAGGGCTGCTGGGAGGGGCCTGGCCTCCCTGGGGACCCAGGCCCCCACCTCTCTCTCTCCCCCCCATCCCTCCCTGGGGACCCCAGTCATCTCTCTGCACGCACTCATACAGGTGCACACATGGGTCTGCACAGCCACGGCCCATGTGTGTGCACTCACCAGGAATGCAGGCCCAGGTGTGCACGTGTATGAGTGCATGCAGCTGTATACAGGAGCACACGCGTGTGTGTGTGTGTAAACATGTCCACACATGTATATACATGCACAGCCACACACACACACACACACACACATTCTTCCTCCCAGGAATGGTGATGGTGGGGGGTGCATGGGAGTTGAAGGGAGCAGGGGTCAGTGCAACCAGGCCAGGGGCTGAAGAGCTATGGCAGCGGGGAGGGCCTTGCACACAGCCCACCCGGGTTTGATCCCCGGTGCCCCATAGGGTTCTTTGAGCACTGCCAGGAGCGATTCCTGAGTGCAGAGCGAGAAGTAACCCAAGCATTACTGGGTGTGACCCAGGAAAAAAATGCACAGGTGTTTCGGAAATGGCATCAAGGGGCACAGTGGCGGAGGCTACAAGGTCACTCAAGGTCAAGGTCACAGGCCACAGCTCTGAGAGCTGCGGTCCCTCACCCTGGTGCGGGACCCACCTGCAGCCACTCGGAGGCAGAGTTGCTCTGCGCCGTCCAGGCGTTGAACTTGCCCTGTCTGTCCAGCCGGCCATAGAAGGGGAACCAGCTGAAGGCGCTCAGGCCCCAGGTGCGGAAGATGCTGGAGGCGGTGATCTGCTTGTCAGGGATGGTGTTGTCCTTCATGCCCAGGGCATCGGAGCATCCTGCCGACACGAGGGACCGTCACCCACGGGTGTCCTCTCCTCTCCCCTCACCCCGACTTCCCTCCACACAGCACAGGCCCTGAGCCACTACTTCCCACCCCGACCTCAGAGACAGGTCCTCTAAGAAGCCCTCCCTGACCGCTTCAGGGGGCAGGACACAGCCAGGATCCACACACTGGACTCCCTCCTTCTGTCCTTCTGTCCTTCCGGACAGAGGTGCTGGCTGGGGCAGGGCAGAGGCCCAGATGTGGCTGTCACGGACAGTTGCCTGAACTCCCTTTCGCAGAAGGAACATCCCGTCTCAGATGGTGGGAGACACAGAAATGCCGATGGTCTTTTTTTTCCTTTCTTTGGTTTTTGGGTCACATGCAGTAGTGCTCAGGACTTACTCCCGGCTCTATGCTCTGGGCTGACTCCTTGCTCTGTGCTCGGGGCTCACTCCCGGCTCTGTGTTCAGGGATCACTCCCGGCTCTGTGCTCGGGGCTCACTCCCGGCTCTATGCTCAGGGATCACCCCTGAAGGAACTTGGGGGCCATTGCTAGTGCCAGGAATCAAACCCGGGTCAGCCACAACAAGGCAAGTGCCCTGCCCGCTGTGTTCTCTCTCTGGCCCTGGAAAACAAACTTTGCTGCAGATTTAAAGAGACAACCCAGTTTTAGAAGGGGAGTGCCAGAGAGTGAGCCCCAAGGCTCAGCATGCCAGAGGCCGGGGTTCAATTTCTGACGTTACCAGGGACAATACCAAGTGGAAAGCCCAGAGTAGCCAAATATTGAAAACCAGGGCCGGGAGGCTGCGCATGATTTGATCCAAACCAGACTCAAGCCCGGCAGGCCCCAGACTCAGCTCTGAGCGGTACCAAGCGTGTGTGCATGGGATGGCAGAACCCGGCATGCAGCTGCCGACGCACGGAGCGAAGGTCCTGGGAACCACAGGCGCTGCGGTTCTGCAAGCGGCCAGCAGGGGTCAGACCAGGGCACAGGGGGAAGACCCTGGGAAACGAAAGCGCTGCAGGTCCACTCGCGGCCAGCAGGTGGCACCGAGAGAACAGGGACGGGCGAAGGAGCAAGCGGAAGGGTTGCAGCTTTGGGCCCCCTGACCTCTGCAGATGCGTCCGTGACTCTTGGGGCACGCCACAGGAATAGGGGTGTAGGAGGACCACTAGATGAGTGAACAGTCCCCCAAGCTGTGCGCAGTGAGCAATGGCTCGGGTGGGCTTCCGTTCCCTCCCATCATCCATCTCTCACCCCACAGATGCGGCGAGGGCTCCGGGCTCCCAGAGCACATGCTTGGCCTGCAGAGCCCCGGCCCCAACCCCCACTTCCGACTCCCAGCCCCTACCCTTGGTTCCACCCCTGCTTTCGGCCCCGGCCCCTCTCCCCCCGCCCCCCCCCCGCCTCCCTACCCCCAGCGAGCTGGTGCTGAGTCAGCACCCATGCTCCGAATCAGAGTAAGTGAGGGTGCTTTGCAGAACCCAAAGGGTGCCCCTGTTCCTTTTCTTTCCCTCCTCCCCTCTGCAGGATCAGGAGGCCATGGGCACGCGGCAGTCCCGGGACAGGCTAAGGCAGGGGCAGGGGGCCCTGGCACTAACCATTCAGCTCACAGCCCAGAAGCTCAAAGCGCAGGGTGCAACCCCGGTGACAGACGATGGGCACCAGCCGCAGGTACTGCACCTCCAGGGGGGTCTCAAACATGTTCACCTTCAGGCCATTGTTGTCCACATTCCCCACAAAGACCTGGGAGGGAGGAGGCAGAATGGGGGCACCGGCCAGCCCAGAACTCCCTTCTCACGTCCTCCCTGGTCCCCGGGGCCAGTGAAGGGGGACCTCCCCTCCCCAGCGCATTCAGGAGAGAGGCTCTGCCCATGGACACCAGTTGCACCACCAACCAACATCTAGGTGTGGCCAGCATGGTATCCTTGAGCAGGTCCAACACGCACCACGAGACGTGGAACCCTTGGAGGCACAGATGCCCCCACTGCGGCAGCTGGCCTCCAGGGAGTCACCGAGCTGGGTTCTCATTTTTTGGTGTCAGGGCTATCCTCCGTCCACCTGGCAGTGCTCGGATGGACCCACTCAGTGCCAGGGCATGAGCCTGAAACTCTGGCATGCAGGGCAGAAGTCCCCGGCCCCCACGGAACCCATCTCAACTCTGGCTGCTCTCACTCTCCAGCGGAGCGACGGCTTCTCGCCGCAGAGCATCCTCTGGGAATCGGAGTGTATCCGGGACGGACCTCGTGC